CTGTATGGTGTGTGTACCATAAAGAGTACTAATACAGTATGGTTCGTGTACCATAAAGTGTACTAATACTGTATGGTGTGTGTACCATAAAGTGTACTCATACAGTATGGTTCGTGTACCATAAAGTATACTAATACAGTATGGTGCGTGTACCATTAAGTGTACTAATACAGTATAGTGTGTGTACCATAAAGTGTGCTAATACAGTATGATGTGTGTACCATAAAGTGTACTAATTCAGTATGGTACGTGTACCATAAAGTGTACTAATACTGTATGGTACGTGTATCATAAAGTGTATCTTATATCGCATGGTACGTGTTCCATAAAGCAAATTAATACTGTATGGTACGTGTAGTCGTGTACCATAAAGTGTATCTTATATCACATGGTACGTGTACCATAAAGCAAATTAATACTGTATGGTACGTGTAGTCGTGTACCATAAAGTGTTTCTTATATTGGATGGTACGGGTACCGTAAGTGTATCTTTTGGAACTAGAGAAGAGTAATGAACGACCAGATCGGGAATCGAACTCGGGATCTCCGAACACTTGACGGACTCCCTAATAAATGAAGATGTCTGGTCGCCGCCGATAGATTCAATCCTGTTCTGCTATATTCCTCTTACTCGTTTTGAAGATAATGCTACATTACAACCCAAGTCTGTGTTCCCCTTGCCAATCATACACACAGAACTTGAAACCCGAAGGGTTTGTCACAGACACCACAGTAACAGGGAAGGGACAATGCAAGGCCAGACAGAGATTCGAACCCGGGACATTGGAACACTAAACAGACGTCCACGATCTAATCAGTTTGGCTTCCTAGTCACCCTTGATCAATCTAGTCCAGTTTTGCAGCACTGCTACCGTATTTTACGGATACCGTGTATGTATATTATGCTGTATATAATAAAACGCGTACCGAAACGGTTATCGTGTATTATATTTTACGGCTATCGTTAAATTATCGGTTACAACATGTTACGTGTATTTTATACATTTATTGCCCTTGTCGTAGGGAAACACGATTCTTTGTTTCTCTTTGATTAATCATGTTTCCCAAGGGTGAAATTAAAATTAACTCGGAATTCCCCCTTGTGAAATAAGTTATAAAATATCGGAGAAACAAAGGACGAACAGGTTGACGCGCCACTGTAGTCGTCTGCTTCAGTCTTGCCCGTTTTACTAGAGATGCTCTGAAAAAGGGAAATATGATCGCAGCAACTCGAGCGCGTGAGGCCGACATGATGTTTTATTTCCTCGTCATTTGATTAATATATTCTAATCAGACACGCTGTTATACGGATGACCTAAAAATAACATACTTTAGGCAGGATACACTTAAACATTTACATTACACGGTATGTATGATACGGGTATCTGTACTGTATTATACGGGTATCTTGTACTGTATGATACGGGTATCCTGTACTGTATGATACGGGTATCTGTACTGTACGATACGGGTATCTTGTACTGTATGATACGGGTATCTGTACTGTATGATACGGGTATCTGTGCTGTATGATTCGGGTATCTGTACTGTATGATACGGGTATCCAGTACTGTATGATACGGGTATCTGTACTGTATGTTACGGGTATCCAGTACTGTATGATACGGGTATCTGTACTGTATGATTCGGGTATCTGTACTGTATGATACGGGTATCTGTGCTGTATGATACGGGTATCTGTACTGTATTATACGGGTATCTTGTACTGTATGCTACGGGTATCTTGTACTGTATGATACGGGTATCTGTACTGTATGATACGGGTATCTGTGCTGTATGCTACGGGTATCCAGTACTGTATGATACGGGTAGTATAGTATGGAACGTACAGTACGCGCATGTAATAAGCTTAAGAGTGGTGTCATGAGTTTAATTAAAAGTGGTGCTCATCCATGTGCATTAAATCCTTTAACGATTAGTAAAATACTGAAATCAAAAGTATGTGCTTGAGCCCTATATGGGTGTGAATTATGGTGTCTTCAAAAAACCGAAATTTTAATGTTAGAAAGAGCACAACGTCTCATTTTAACGTCAATTCAGGGGTTCCATACAAGAACCCGTACAGATATGTGCACAGGCCTTCTGGGTTGGTTAAGTTTAGAAGCATACATAGATACCAAGAAATTATTATTGTTTGGAAGATTATGCAACTTGGAGAAAAACTGTATATCTTATCTTGTGTTTTTTACTCGTCTTTGTATGGCAGTTATAGGGACCAATGTGTATAATAATGGATTTATGAATGAAGTAATTAGGGTACTAAAGAAATATGATTTATACAAATTAGTACAAGAATGTTTATCAAATGGAATATTTCCAGTGAAAAGTATATGGAAAGCGAAAGTAAAGCATAATGTACAGTTATATGAAGAAAAAGGATGGAAGGAGAGAATGAGTGGTGACCGCGATTTCTGCAGATTTATATTTGTTCATGATAATTTGGCTCCTCATATATTGTGGAAATTGTTAATAAAATTTCCTCAAAACAGAGAAGCCATACATAGTATAATGAAATTGATTGTATCTCTAAGACATTCAGAAAAAACTGAATTATGTCATAAATGTGGACAAATGTATAACGATATATATACCCACATAGTTTTACAATGTGATTGTACTGAAGACTTACGAGATCAGTTATGGTGTCAAGTCATTAATACATGTGAACTTATGTTTAGTGTATATTTACACTCTCATTCAGACTATGAATTATTTCACCTACTGATTGGTGGCAATATAACGTATGAACTGAATACATTAGAGTTAACAGAATTTCGTATGGCATCAGTCAATCATATTTCAAAAATGCTTAATGTATACTTCGAATGATTATTCAATACTTTTGGGTATATCATTCTTAACATTATTAATTATGTATTCTTTTGTAAACTGTACTCATATTGATTAACTTATTTCTATTATGTTAACTTATTATGTTGTGCAATAATTTTTGCCTTACCATCTATTTGATTTTGTATCTATTATCTTATATATCATTGTAATTACATTATTCTGTTTGTAAAATCTTCTTAAAGGAGGAAATAAAGAGAATAATAATAATAGTAGTCGATCCCTAGTTATGCCAACGCTTCACTGGAACGTCAACGTGTGGTAAAATTCTACTACACACCAGAGCGCGGAAGCATTCAACAAAACGCTTACTTATTGAGTTTTTTAATTAAATACTGGAATTCATCAATGATATTTCTAAAGAACATTCTAGTTTATAGCACCACTTCAATAGATTTTGTGTCTAGTCATTTATGTATGCGTGTTAGACCAAAGACCAATGATTACCGCGTAAATACACAAATGGCTGCCAATATACGGACTTGAGAAAACTGCAAACTACAAACTACTATGTAAAGTTTGTACAACATTGATATCCGAGCCACAGTGTACAGTTGTTAACAACAGATATCCGAGCTACCGCGTACACTTGTAAACAACAGATATCCGAGCTACCGCGTACAGTTGTTAACAACAGATATCCGAGCTACCGCGTACAGTTGTAAACAACAGATATCCGAGCTACCGCGTACAATTGTAAACAACATATATCCGAGGTACTTCGTACAGTTGTAAACAACATATATCCGAGCTACTTCGTACAGTTATAAACAACAGATATCCGAGCTACTTCGTACAGTTATAAACAACAGATATCCGAGCTACTTCGTACAGTTGTAAACAACAGATATCCGCGCTACCGCGTACAATTGTAAACAACAGATATTCAAACTTCCACGTACAGTTGTAAACAACAGATATCCGAGCTACTTCGTACAATTGTAAACAACAGATATTCAAACTTTCACGTACAGTTGTAAACAACAGATATCCGAGCTACTTCGTACAATTGTAAACAACAGATATTCAAACTTTCACGTACAGTTGTTAACAACAGATATCCCGAGCTATCGCGTACAGTTGTTAACAACAGATATCCGAGCTACCGCGTACAGGCGTACAGTTTAAACAACAGATATATACAGACTACCGTGTAAATATCCGAACTACTGCGTACACGTGTAAACAACAGAAAACAACATATATCCAGACCACCGTGTAGATATCAAAACTACCGTGTCAAGTTGTATACCACAACTATCCAGACTACTGTCCATGGACTGTTTACCGTGTAAATCTGACATCTACATGTAACTGACTTTTTATCAATACAAATGATCACCATGGAAACCAGATAATCAAATTATCGCCATCCAAACCTTACTGGTATTGAAAAGTATTGATAACCCCAGAAACCCCAGAAAGCAATGCTAAGGAGTATCAATTATAACTGGGTTAGTTAATTAACTGTTGTAATAACTAGGACGTCTTTAAATGCTGTTCCACCTCTCTGTCCAGCATCACAGCTCTTTGACCTCACTGGAATCCATAGGTGTTGATGCAATTGGTTTGGTGATAAGCTATGCGCTACTTCGTAGTAAACTAGAAGTGTTATATAAATTGCGGTAGCTTCCCACGTGAAACAGCAGAGCATTTTCAAACTCGCTGTGGCTGTGTGTAGGGTCAGCGCTGACTGGAATGTGACCGATAACGCCGCGATGAAGTCTAAAACTTTCCATTTTGACCCCCCTCGATCCCCCGTTATCATACCGCCATATTACACATGAAAGTGAACACAACAACAACCTTGCCCTCGACCAGTCTCGTCTTACACCGCACCAAATATAGCGGCTACCTGCTCGACACTGCTCTAAAACTTTTCAAAAATCAAAAAAGGCATGTAGGATAGTGACTTGTAAATATAAGGCGAAGTAAAAAACACGCATAAATACGAGCTGGAGTAAAGTCTGTCGCCTGTTCAATAGCAAGTGGCCCACATGAATAAAATTAAGTGAAAGCTTACTTGAGCGTGAAAAGCTGAAAAGAAAGAGAAGTACGTCCTGAACACGTAGGAATGTATGTGTATTTGAGATAGTAGCAGACGACGTGTTATATATATATATACGTACCGACTGTAAGGACAGCGGCGTGCTAAAGTCGTTCCCACCCTGGAGCCGAAACCCCCAGGACACACCCGTGTCGGGTCGCACAAGGCGAATGGTCATCATCTCCGGCTGAGCCATGCTGGACACTGTCTTTGATAAACCTCTGGTCAGACTGACTGGACCGTGCACCCTACTGATCGGAGATCGTCAATAAAAATAGCATCTGTTGTTGTACGGAGCAAGGAGCCCCCGGGTTTGCACACGATACCTGGTAGTGAAATGACGTCAGAAAGTAGGAATTGGCGCTTCACTGATCTGGTGGGCTTCCCCAAACCTAAGCAGTACGGTAACCCATACACGGCAGACACCAGTTCTTAGTCACACCAAAATCCATGTTGTCAGGGGTCGCTCGTCCCTGTAGTGACGTAAACGCTAGTCATTTAGTTACGAGACGCGGAAAACTCGTGTCACGGATCAGTGGTCTCTTTTTTATAGTTATATTCGACATTAATCCGTATTCGACGTTAGACGCTAGTCCCGAATCCCAGGTGTCGTTAACGCTAGTTCTATATATATATAGTCACGAGACACATTAAGTCCATGTCACGGACATAGTTCTCTAGTGACGAAATATAACACTGTCTATTATACCTTTGTAATAGTATATGGTATGATGAGTTTGATAGTCACTGTTATGCCATGGTATGATTGCACTGTATGGTGTGGTATACTATATATAATACATGTATCATGTAGTGCGAGTAATATATGTGTAATACTGCAATAATATTATTGGAGGATTGTACTGTAAGATGGATGCAACAGTGCCTGCTATGCCACTGTGTGAACGCACGGTATGGGTGAATGTAATGCTATGTATTATACCATCGTAATAGTATTGTAAAATGAGTGTAATACTGTATATCACTGTATGACGAGTGTCATTACATGAGCAGTGCGCTATATTGTCTATTATAACAAGGTATGATTGTACGTATGAACAGTGTAAAAGTGTGTTTATCATTGTATGAGGAGTGTAATAGTTTCCACTATATTATTGTAAGCTTGCATAGTAAGCTTTACGGTCAACCATATCATTGTTATATTGTACTTTATGATGACCTCTTGTTGCACACAATAGTGTGCCTGAGTGATAATAAAAATCTCTGAAATCTCTCGTATCAGTGGTCTAATAGTTATATTCGACATTAATCCCTATTGACGTTAGACGCTAGTCCCGAATCCCTGGCGACGTTAACGCTAGTTCTATATATATATAGTCACGAGACACAGTAAGTCCCTGTCACGAACATAGTCCTCTAGTGACGAAATGCTAGTTATATCATCACGGACCGCTAGTCCCTTGTCACGTTTTATCCAAGTCATCCTTGACTCTAGTCACATAACCTAGTCACGCTCGATCTAGTCATGAGAGACACTTACAGTCACAATACAACTTGGCAATGAGCATCAGCTTGGTGAAGTCAACAGCTTCCAAGATCTAGTTTATCAGTTTCGGTTTTGTTTTATGTCGTAATCCAATGATCTGGCTCACGAGAATGGTTGAACTGTCATTCAAAGCTGTTTCGTAAACCCGATCGGGTATAAATATAAACGATAATTTGAAACTATTGATTTTACCGGAATGAAATCATTTCCAAGTGGAAGGTCAAAGACTATGGAACTAGAGCGGACACCTTTACTGGTGGATTACAGAGCGGACACCTTTAACTGGTGGATTACAGAGCTGACACCTTTACTGGTGGATTACAGAGCGGACACCTTTACTGGTGGATTACAGAGCGAACATCTTTACTGCTGGATTACAGAGTGGACACCTTTTACTGGTGGATTACAGAGCGGACATCTTTACTGGTGGATTACAGAGCGGACACCTTTAACTGGGGGATTACAGAATGGACACCTTTACTGGGGGATTACAGAGCGGACACCTTTACTGGTGGATTACAGAGCGGACACCTTTACTGGTTGATTACAGAGTGGACATATTTTAAATGCTGGATTACAGAGCGGACATCTTTACTGTTGGATTACAGAGCGGACACCTTTAACTGGTGGATTACAGAATGGACACCTTTACTGGTGGATTACAGAGCGGACATCTTTACTGGTGGATTACAGAGCGGACATCTTTCCTGGTGGATTACAGAGTTGACATATTTTAAATGCTGGATTACAGAGTGGACATCTTTATTGTTAAATTACAGAGCGGACATCTTTACTGTTGGATTGCAGAGCGGGCATCTTTACTGGTGGATTACAGAGCGTACATCTTTACTGGTGGATTACAGAGTTGACATATTTTAAATGCTGGATTACAGAGGGGACACCTTTATTGGTGGATTACAGAGTGGTCATCTTTACTGGTGGATTACAGAGCGGACACCTTTAACTGGTGGATTACAGAATGGACACCTTTACTGGGGGATTACAGAGCGGACATATTTTAAATGCTGGATTACAGAGTGGACACCTTTATTGGTGGATTACAGAGTGGTCATCTTTACTGGTGGATTACAGAGCGGACACCTTTAACTGGTGGATTACAGAGCGGACACCTGTACTGGTTGATTACAGAGTGGACATATTTTAAATGCTGGATTACAGAGTGGACATCTTTATTGTTAAATTACAGAGCGGACATCTTTACTGTTGGGTTACGGAGCGGACATCTTTACTGGTGGATTACAGAGTGGACATATTTTAAATGCTAGATTACAGAGTGGACATCTTTATTGGTGGATTACAGAGTGGACATCTTTACTGGTGGATTACAGAGCGGACATCTTTACTGGTGGATTACAGAGTGGACATATTTTAAATGCTGGATTACAGAGTGGACATCTTTATTGTTAAATTACAGAGCGGACATCTTTACTGTTGGATTACAGAGCGGGCATCTTTACTGGTGGATTACAGAGCGGACATCTTTACTGGTGGATTACAGAGTTGACATATTTTAAATGCTGGATTACAGAGTGGACACCTTTATTGGTGGATTACAGAGTGGACATCTTTACTGGTGGATTACAGAGCGGACATCTGTACTGGTGGATTATAAACTGGACATTTTTAAAGGTGGATTACAACTGTGGTAAAGATCTGCACTGCTGGATTACGAGGAGGAAGTCCGTACCGTTGGATTACGTTGCGGACGTCTGTACTGGAGTCCCACATATTGTTGGATTACGCGGTGGCGGCTTATGCACATTAATGGTGAAGGTATACACCAATAGGTTACCTGTTGGTTGTCTGTGGTATTTTAAGGATAGCTGTTTGTGCTGGATATATATGTTGATATTGTACGTATGGGGTGTCGTAGTGACGACATTCCTTTGATTGTATGGTATACGGAAATGCCTCACATAAGTGTATTGTTGAGCGGAAGTACAGACGGGACTCCAGCGCTGTCGAGTGTTGTACTAATTAGTGAGGAAGGGAGGCGCGTGCAAGACACGAGTGTCTACTTACCGCTCTCTGTGTATCCCCCTCCCCAGCTGGCATTAGCCTCCTCTGTATCCCTAAAGCTAATGCTACCCTCCTGTTCCCCTCCCCAGCCGTGATGTTACCCTCCTCGGCAATACCTCCCCTGCTGATGTTATACCCTCCATTTCCCCTCCCAGACAGACGTTTTCCTTCTCTACCTCCCCTTCTCCTGCTGACGTTACCCTCCCTTTTGCGCTCCCCAGCTGACGTTACCATCATTTCCCCTCCCCAGCTTATGTTAACTCCCTTTTCCCCTCCCCAGCTGATGTTAACTCCCTTTTCCCCTCTCCAGCTGATGTTAACTCCCTTTTCCCCTCCCCAGCTGATGTTAACTCCCTTTTCCCCTCCCCAGCTGATGTTAACTCCCTTTTCCCCTCCCCAGCTGATGTTAACTCCCTTTTCCCCTCCCCAGCTGATGTTAACTCCCTTTTCCCCTCCCCAGCTGATGTTAACTCCCTTTTCCCCTCCCCAGCTGATGTTAACTCCCTTTTCCCCTCCCCAGCTGATGTTAACTCCCTTTTCC